TTGAAAAATAATGTGTTTTTTGAACATTAAAGCATGTCAACATATTCTGTTACACCAAATACACAAAATAATGATCTTTAAAAAAGCGTCATATGACCCCTTTAAACATAAAGTTAAGTGGTTTTCATTACCCATTTTACTCTTAGTAATTTAATAATTTAATACATTTCATAATTTAAAAGTTTAGTGCAGAAGTATCGAATCGGTATCGATATCGACGATACTGCCTTGAAAAATATCGGTATCGTATCGAAAACAAAATAAGGGGTATGGCTCATCCACTATTTTTGACACGCCCCGACATACGTCAGACACGCTTAGTATGACGTCACAGGAAATTCCATAACTGAAACGAAACGTTAGAAAATGATTATAAGCCTAAATAGGAGACACACTGAACTCATTTAACTGAAAATCACCATATACCATCACCGTGACATCGCTCATTGTAGTATGTAGCTCTATGAAGATGTTTAGAAGAAAGAGTAGTCTTCAGTACTAACAGCGTGACGTCACGCCGAGTGCAAAGAGCTCGAAATGGATGGCTAGTTCACTCTAATTCGTTTAAAAGTTGTTCCTCATCTTACCTTCACCACCTGCAGCCCCCCTCGACTCGTTTTCGTCTACCCTCTCTCCGTCGTTGGCATCTGCCATGGTTTTATTCAGCACAAACACCGCAGGCCCAAGTGATAGCTTGCTAACTAACGTTAGCCGCACCAGTTTAACAATTTCTGAATCCGCTAATTTCACAGTTTCCAACAACATACAACATAATCTAGTCAAGTTATCGACGCTTGTGGTTATATATCCTCCCCGGGAGCACCATTAAAATGATAAAAGCATGCTATGCAAGTAAAAAGTTGTCTATAAGCTCTAAGAAGAGCTCCACCAATCCATAGGAGCGCTTTAAACATGGAAATAACGCGGAAATGGAGAAGGCAACAAGGGCAGATTCGCTGCTGTGCCAAGAACGAACCACAAGTGTGCATCTTTCCGTTATATAAGTTATTTTACAAACCAATCAAATATATTTGTTTTATTTATTTATTTATTTTATTATTATTATTATTATTATATTACTACATGAGTCTTACTAAAACCCACTTAGAATCACAATGACATTTATTGCCCACAGTAGACAAGATAGACAAAATTTACAAAAAAAGTCTATATACTGATACAAGTGGGGTTTTTTTTGTTTGTTTGTTTGCATAGGTTCACACACCAGAAATGTATTTATTCGTTTATTCATTATGTATTTATTAGTTTTAGATTAATATTTATTCAGAGGCTTTGGGAAATAACTACATGTTTTAATTATTTGGTTTTATGTAGAGGCTTGGGGAAATAAATGCTATATTTTAATACTAGACATTCCTAAATCACTTTATTAGACATACCAGACCTATTGAAGACGTTTTCCTCTACGATTTGCGCAAGTAGCTTATTCTTCCAACAGGTTTTCTCTTCTGAAATGCAGTGATTGTTTTTAATATGCGAACTGATATTAGAATTTTAGACGGTAACCACATTATTCGCCACAAGATGTCGCTATAAGACTGAGGACCATAACAACGACGTCGGTTCCGTTGCCTTGCAAACATCAACAACAGTTTCCTAAAACATGGAATTTACCTAAGCAGGGTGAGGATAGAGAAAACTGGTTTTATGTCATAATATTACAAAAAAAAACATGTACGCCTACTTTTGGTGAATTGCAGGTACTACCTGTGATCAGAGGTGCCGCTATTGTTTCTGGGCCCCCTGAACAGCATATTGACTAGGGCCCCCACTGTAGAAATCATGTTCCGGGGGGGAGAAAGTAAGACTGTAGCTGTCAATCAAATATATCTAAAAAAAATAATAATAATAATAAAAATCAGCCCCACTTTGGCACAATTTAACAACAGCTGATACCTTACCTCATAAAGCACCAGCATTTTCTTAATAACCTGCCAGGTTCTTTTTGAACAAAACCAACCCAGCCCACTGGACTATGCATACAGAGATTGATTAGCAGGTAGGCTTAGCCTAACCAATGTACTCAGTTTAGGGTAGAGGATAGGTGTGTCTAACTGCTAGATTACCACTACAAAAGAAAGATGATACTGGTGAAGGAAAATCATCTAATCTACCCTCAACTTGTACATGCTTTTTCTCAGTGTATATACAAATACATAATTTTTGTTTTTATTTGTAACATTTAATATGTGTCCTTATTCTAGCTCTGTTTTGTTATAAGATAACCATGTAAAATATAAGTTTGGTACTTCTGCAGACACTGTAGTGACCTGTAAATGTCAGATGTCTACATTTGCCATTTCTGAGATGAATGTTATTGAAAGTGGTGATATCATGGAGTGTTTTTTGTACAGCATGTGAAAAAACAAAACTTGCTTCACTCCCAGACCTGAAAGCAACCTCACTGAAATCCACAGTGAAAATGTTCACTGTGCCCTTGACCAAGTCATGGAAGGTGGGCTGGCTCTGTACACCACAGACAGCTTTGGATTTAACAAAGCAAATAGATTATTTAAAATGCATTCTAAAATTTTTACTGTTATCATACTCAACTATCCCATTTGGGTGAAAAGTACACTCCAATATTTAGCCTATAGTATGAATAATAAAACCATTAGACTTGCGAAAATTAACACTTTTAATTTTATTTATTTTTTTGTTTACATACTCAAATAAGCCTGTCTAATAAAAATCCATTTCCAAACACACAGTAACATTTGAGACGTAAAAAAAAAAAAACTTGATTACTGGAAATAGTATATTCACAGATTTTGAAAAAAATAAATTAGAAAGTGTTATTAATGTTAAATGCAGTGTATTGTTAAGTAAAATTTTTGATGTAATACTACCTGAAAGGAGTCGGATCAGAGGGAGGGATGGTGGGCCAGGCCCGTGTGGTGGAAGATGGCCTTGTGCCAGAGGTAAACCAGGGCAGAGTTGTCGGAGCAAGAGGCCAGGGCGGGTCCGGCAGAGCAGGAGGCCACCACAGCAGAGCAGATGGGACAGTAGATCCCCACGGCGGAGCAGATGACCACAATAGCAGAGCAGACGGGAGCGAAGATCCCCACGGTGGGGCACATGACCACCAGGGTGGAGCTGATGGAGCGGAGGACCACTTCTGTGGAGCTGATGGTGCAGGAGACCACCAAGATGGCTCAGACTGGGCTGTAATAGAAAGTACAGAGAGGTTAACAGCGGCATCTGCAGCCGTAACGGGACAAACAGAGAATTCAGGAACGGCCTCCCTGGCCATGACAGGGCATACTGAGAGTTCAGGAATTGCCTCCTTGGCCATAACAGAATAAATAGAGAGTTCAGGGATGGCCTCCTTGGCCGTGACAGGACAGGCAGAAAGTTCAGGAGTGGGCGCCACCGCCCAGAGAGGAGCTGAAGTGGACTCCTCAGCCTTGGGAGGTTTTGCAGCCAAAGCCACCACCTCGGGAGGAACTGGAGTGGGCTCAGGAGCGGACTCCTGGACTGGAACGAACTCAGGAGTGGACTCGTAGATTGGAGCGAGCTCTGGAATGAAATCAGAGGGCTCTAGAGTGGACTCAGATGGCTCCCGGACTGGAGCGGACTCTGGGGTGAACTCTGAGGGCTCCCAGACAGGAGCGGACCCTGGGGTGAACTCTGAGGGCTCCCAGACTGGAGCAGACTCTGGAGTGAACTCTGAGGGCTCCCGGACTGGAGCGGCCTCTGGAATGAACTCTAAGGGCTTCCGGACTGGAGCCGTTTCATGAATGGACTCTCTGAAGGCTCCCGGACTGGAGCAGGCTCTGGAGGGGACTCTGAGGGCTCCCGGACTGAAGCAGGCTCTGGAGTGGACTCTGAGGGCTCCCGGACTGGAGAGGGCTCTGGAGTGAACTCTGAGGGCTCCCGGACTGGAGCGAGCTCTGGAACAACAGGAGTGGGTCTTGCTGCCCTCCTCCTTCTCGATCTTCGCTTGTGAAAGAACGACAAAGCCTCACTATTCTCTGGGGAAGTTAAATCTGACTTGAGATTCTCCAGGGGCATTGCAACAGGCACAGACTGACCGGATGGAACCACTAAACTGCGATAACAGAGAGAGTCAATAAAACCCCAAGAGTCAAGAGTCTTCAGTCCCTCCATCTCCCACAGAGGCAAGGGGTAATCCAAGCATTCATTAAAAATCTTGTTGAGCTCAGAATTACAAAGTTCCAGTCCTACAGCCAAAGTCCAAAAAGTCTGTGCAAGACTTCCTACTCCCATCCCCTGTTGACGAAGAGCCGCCAACATCTGGAGCAGAGCCTTCCGCTCCTTTTTAGAAGCAGGAGAAAGAACTCAAATGCCCGTAATTCAAAAGTCAGTGAAGACTGGCTAGCTACTGGATCTGAGATGATGGCTGCAGTATTCTGTCACAAATGGTCATTCTGTCACTGATAGTCACTGCAGTCACCCGGATCCAGTACGTATCCAGCTCAGATGGTGGATCTGTTCCTAGAGACGACCTCTACAGCCCTAAATGTCAGCGGAGATCAGGACAACTAGATAAGCCCCAGAGACAGATCCCCAGTGAAGACCTTGTCTCCTAGACGGCCATCGGGACAAGACCACAGGAACCATATGAGTACTCTGCACAATCTGACTTTGCTGGGCCACCGGGACAAGACCACAGGAACCAGATGAGTCCTCTGCACAATGTGACTTTGCTGCAGCCTGGAATTGAACTGCTGGTTTCGTATGGCCAGGGGAGAACTGGCCCCCCGACTGAGCCTGGTTTCTCCCAAGGTTTTTTCTTCATTCTGTCACCGATGGAGTTTGGTTCCTTGTCCCTTTCCCCTCTGGCTTGCTTCGTTGGGGACACTTAATATCAAGCGATATCGTCAACTTGATTGCACAGATACTATTTAAACTGAACTGAGCTGGATGATGACATCACTGAATTCAATGATGAACTGCCTTTAACTGAAAATTGAGTGTTTACTATTGTCACTTTGCATTACTGACACACTATTTTCCTATTTAATACTGTAGAGTTGCTTTGACACAGTCTGTATTGTTAAAAGCGCTATATAAATAAAGATGACTTAACGACAAAATGAACTCAGATGCAATATGAAGATCCAAAAGCAGCATTTATTATCCACAACAAAAGGTCCAAAATACAAAGCAAACAGCAAAAAAACACAAAGTAATCCAGAAGGCAGTAGTCGACAAAAGAAAACACATAGTGCAATACTGCAGCAAACTAAGATTAACAAAACATGGTATTTATAGGGACACTAACAAAACTAAATGACACACACCTGGAAAACAATGAACCTGATAGACAGAGCAAAGGGTGATGGAAGTCCACAAGCAATAACAGTGACCTGGGAGGAGTGCCCTCTGGTGGCTGTCATGGCCACTCCAGCCAATGGCTGTGAGTGTTACTTTTTTACTATTTTTAATAGTGTGATTTTAGATGACTTGTATTAAAACCAGTAATCAAATCAGGCATCATAATAAATATTAGTTAGAATAATATTATAACAATATTTAATAATACATTTTAAAAACTACATAAACTAATAATAAAATGTACTGTCCCTGTTTGTTTGTTTTTTTTCATAGATAATACAAAGTGAGATTTCAATGTTTTTTTAGCCACTGAACTAGGAAATGTCTCCAGTTTCAATTTCAGAAATGTGGTCACCTTAATTTAAATGCGGTTGTCACTTCTGAAACTCTATATTGTGTAAGTGGCCTATAGAGTAATTAGCAAAATAGTATCTAAAATATAAGTTATTCAGTATTAACTTCCTATTTTTACCATCTTTTACTGGTCAATTAATTGCTTTTTTTCTAGACTTGTTAGCTAAATACTGGGTTTCTAATTCTAAAATCACTTTGGCTATTTAAACATAACATTTAAACATATTTTAAATTATTATTTATTGGCTGCGAAAAATAAATTATACAGGATAAAAACTTGAAAAGAAAAAAGAAAAGATTAATTG